TCCACACTGAACTGCTGCTCATTCCACATGCCAGCAAGCCAGGCACGCTTCCACTCTAGGGTTATTTCAGCTGGTCCTTCTGTAAGATCAGCATTTCCCCACATATCTGCTTGGCCAGCCCCTTCATCTCCAAGTTCTGAACGAGTTGTAATCTCTAATGACGCAAACCCTGACTATCCCAACACAGGACTCCTGATTCCTCATTCGCTGCTCTCCTTTTCTCCCCCATTGCATTTACCAGCTTCTCACACAGTTTTATACATTACTTCCTTTTTTATGTCTACTGTTTATTGCCTCTCTCTCTGTACTAGAGTGCAAGCTTCCTGAGGACAGAGATCTTTGCTCTGCTCACCAGAGGATCTAGAACGAAGGATCTTACCAAGCATCTAGGACAGTGTCTGTGCCTTAGTAACACTCAAAACTTTTTTTTAAACGAATGAACCACTTTACCCCATGCTTTGATTTGATAAACTGCTATAAATGAGTAGCGACCCACCAGTAGAAGTGAGTCCACATATACCATTTTTAGTATTGCTGTGTGCATTAGCACCCAATTTCAATTGTATTCCTCTTATCTCTTCCTTATCTCCTTTTTATTTACATCTTTCCAGACATGAAATCTAGAACCACTTTAAAATAAAAAGAATTTTAAATCAGGTAGCATTTCCAGAAAACAGTGGGTTTTGCATGCATAATGTAACCTAAGTTAACTGATTTTGGTCATTCCCTGCCTTTGGGGGTGCCGCGTTGCTAAGGAGGCCCTTGCTCATTGATTCTTCTGCTTCTAGTATCCATGGTGATTTTTATTTCTATAGAAGAAAAACAGACATGGGAGGAGGCACGAGAGAAACCAAAATTTCTTTATGTATGAACTGTATGTTTTCCTACTAGGACTGTTCAACTGACTCCAGATCCAGAATTGGCAACAAACGTCACTTATGTGGCCGAGTGATTCGTAGAATTTCAGCTGAGATAAGACATACCTTGACAGACATTCAAATCATGTGCTTGGGATATTTCTGGACAATGACCATGATGTCAACAGTCAAGTTTTGAAAGGCACATGTGAAGGGAGTATTAAAATATCTCTACTGACAGGATCAGATTTTTATGGCCACCAGTAAAAGAGAATATACTCCATTAGAAAATAAACACCCTCTCTGCTTCATGTCACGGGAATCTAGGTCACTTTTGTGCTGAGATCTTTAATTCCTTTGCCACTGATATTCCTGGGACATTAGGAAACATTTCCTCATGTCTAAGCTAGTGTGTTCTCAACTCTTCTAATTCAGGTGAAGGATTTCATCAGACTAGAGAGAGTGTAGGATGAGAAACTAGTCTAAATCTGGGAACTTCAGTTCCAGGATAGCAGGCAAAAAGCATCACTGTGCCTTTAAATGCATGCAGAAGTATGTGCATTCACTCACTAATCTTACCAACATCATTAATAAGAAATGAAATTCTTAACACACATTTCATGTCTTCCAAAATTACATTCAGAAATATCTCAACTTCTTAATGAATGTAATATATAAGAAATATTATCTTTGTTCTAGAAGAATTTCAAATGCAGAGTTAAATGGTCTTTATTTAAGAAAGCATTGAGAGCATCTTTTAAATTTGCCTTCTTTATAATACACCATATCTTTACATAGTGGTGAAAAATAGGGCTTTTTATTAAATATGTAACTTCTGAATTTGATAACTTTCCACAGATACAACACACTCAGGGGAAATTGGCACCAAGAAAAAGGTGAAAAGACTGTTAAGCTTTCAACGATATTTCCATGCATCAAGGCTGCTTCGTGGAATTATACCCCAAGCCCCTCTCCACCTGCTGGATGAAGACTACCTTGGACAAGCAAGGGTGAGCTAGTTATCCCTCCGTCACCTCACCAGGCCACTGGCTGAGAGCATGTGTCCCCCTACTTGTGTCCACTCTTAGCACCCGGGTTTGAGTCCTGCTTCTGCCACTGAGGAGCTCTGTGGCTCTGGCTAGCTACTCAACACATCTGGACTTTTTCATTACATATAAAATGAAATTAATAGAAATACCCACCTCATAAGGGTAGTGTAAGGATTAGATCAGATAAAGCCTGTTTACATGCTTAATATACTCATGCCTAGCGCATGTGAGCTATTTTCATTTTTATAAATGTGCAAAACATATTTGCACAACACCAAGTAAAACAAAATTTTGGGCTGGTCAATTACCAATGAAAGTAATAAATACTAAATTTTTTGACCCATTGAATTATCTCACCATAATAGCTATGCTGAAATTAACCCAGTAATTACCAACTCTTCATTCTACTTCAGGTTGTCAGTACAGTGCATTGTCTTTTTTATAATTTTTAATTCATTCAAATAATTGTTTACTAATTTTACGATTGTTGTTGCAACGCCTTGATCCTACAGAGGGTAGAAACTCTAATGTATGACAATCTAAAAATAGGTCACAGGTTCTCTCTAGCCCAAACTCCCAAAGGAGTTTAAATTTCAGGAATAAACCACCTTGGTTTAAACAGAAGTCAAAGTAATACTATAGTTCAGATGATAAGTGATATTATGCTATCTATAGACTATTCAGAAATATATTCTAATGGTATATACTATTAAGAAACAAGCAGCAAGGATTGTCAGAAAAACTAATTCCCCACTTAGGTCTGCAAAAAGAAAACAAACATCACTTCTTCTAACAACCCAGGGCCTGGGGCGGAGTGAACGTTTGCCGGTTAGTTGCTGGTTGTTTGTCTCATTTGGCAGAGGAGAGCAAGGCTAGGCCCCCAGCCCCGGAGCGCCCGTGACAGAGCTCTCCCGGGGGTGCCTCCCGCCTCAGCAGCCATTTCTCAGGAAAGACAACACTGAGACACAGAAAGAACCGCAGGCCAGAAGTCAGGATAACAGCCGTCAGATTTGGGCTCTGCCTTTAGAATTGTGTGACTTGGATAAAATGCTCACTCAAATTAGACCTCACCAAAAACCTACTATCCCTTCACTTTTCTGATGCAGTTGTGAAGGTCATTGTGTTCACGATGAGGCCTTTGGCTTTTATTGTAAGGCATAGGGAGGCCATTCAAGGGCAGGTGGAGGAGAGCGAGCCGGTCCTTCCAGAAGCAGTGCCTGTGAGAAGACGGGAAAGCACAGTCCTGGGAGCCATAGGGAGGGTAGAATCAGCACTGCAACCTGGTGCCTGAGCATGAACACCATCTAATTCTAAGCACAGGGTATTTCTAAAGAGGAAAATAGGACAGTGCGCCTACATTGGACGGTAGGTCTTTAAACACCCAAGATTTTCAATTGCCCACCCCTCAGTTTCCTGTCTGTTCAGGTGTTTAATTTCATGTGTAGTCCACGCCGAGGAGAGCAGTGTGCTCATCAGTCATCTGGATATCATCTGTTTCAAGTTTGCTATAAACTTCCTCCCTTAAACATATAGTAGTTTGTGATAAAACTTACAAGTCTACGGTTTTAACAGATATCCATCACGTGTGCTGACTACGTACAAGCACCATTTTAAGCACTTTACGTATATGACTTCATTTAATCTTCACCACGACCTTCTGAGGCAATAGTATTATCAGCCACGTTTTTCAAATGAGGAAATGGAGGTAACAGAGAGGTTAAGGAACTTGTCCAAGGTACCACAGCCAGTAAGAGATGCAGCCATGGGGGATGTGGCAGTCTGATTCTGGAACCCGTCCCTTTAACACTTGTTATTAGCGCATGGTGTGAGATTTGTTTTACTGCAAACCAGTTGTACGTAGATAGTAGTATCCTAATATTTTCAACTTTTTAATTGTTTAATTCACTGTGTCTCAAAGTAAATGTTTGAGGCTCCAATATGATTCATGTGAGCACTGGTTTTTGTTTGCCTTTTCAGCATATGCTCTCCAAAGTGGGAACGTGGGATTTTGACATTTTCCTGTTTGATCGCTTGACAAATGGTAAGTCACCCAAAAGAATTCTCACTAAAATACATAACCATAAAGTGAGATTAATTTTGTGAAAAACAAAATTTATTTTTAAACACTCTTCTTTTTTTCTTTCTTTCCCCACTTTTGTAAATCTATAGCCACTTCAAGAAGGACCAGGGCAAGGGAAAATTAGTTCAGAGGAAGAAGAAAGGTTGAATTTGGACTTAGAATTCTTAAAACAATTTTCTTCTGGCTTTGATGATTGCAGAGGAATTTGAAAACCACAGATTAGATTCTTTCCTTGCATAATATTTTGGCCACATGCAAAAGGAGGGAGTTCATTGTTATTCGATGAAGACTAGACACATAAGGGGACATCTTGATCAGTCCTGACTCTTACCGGGCTGGTGGTTGTGCACTTACGTTAAGCGAGCGAGTCTGCCGCTTTGCAGGTATTGTTCAGACATGTTTGGCATCATCAGAAGAAAACAGTTGCTGAGGACAGAGTATAAATGCGTAGGCTGCAGCTGAAGGGAAAAGGAGACATTCTTACTGCTTCCACTTTTTAAATTTTTGTGCCTATGGAGTCTTCCCTTAAGAAAATAATAAAGTCCTATTATATTTTCATTGCCCTTTAAACAAATGCCAACAATAGAGAACTAATGAAAGTCATCACATTTATTGGTGACCTTCATATGTCCAACCCTCTACCAGGCTTGTGTTTTAAGTCATTACAGACAGTTTTCAGTTCTCACCATCCTGTCACTTGACGAACAAAACAGTGGAGCAAGATACAACCTAAGGCCATAAAACTGAGCTTTACACTGTGGGAAGCTAACTAGACCATATAGGGATGTAGCTCATAGTCTTGTATTTCACTTCGCTCAAATCAGTTGGGAGATGGTACCAGTAAGTGAAATTAACTGTGAACAGAAGAATCTGTTCAATGGTATTTGTTAAAAAGAGAGTATAATCACAATTCTCATAAAAATATGAAATGAGCACATCAATGATTTTGTTTAACTCAATTAATTAGAAATCCAGTAAAATGCTACAGCTAGTTCAAAGGAAAATTCAAAGAACCACACATATATGAGCAGTAATAAATACTGAAATGAATTTGCAAGTAGCTGGGAAACTTGGAGGGGGAAATCAATTGTATTTCTGCTTGACTAATTTCATTTGCATATATATGGACAAGAATCATCTGCAATGATAACAGTTATCTACAATTTTGATTGTTGTGAAATAGCTCAAAGATGATGAAAGCTGCAGAAAAATACAGAATCAGGTACCCTGTAAGAGTGTTCTTAGGCAACACCTGGTTTTCCATTTAAGACATCCAGTCATCTTCTTGGTCCATTTCAAAGTCTTTCATAAACTCTATAATGCTTTTAAAATTCAAAATCATTATTCTTTACTGAACAATATTTCTTGAATGCTTATAAGTTATTGTAGCTTCAATTTTGCATCTCTGCTGGCTTGAGTGATAAGATATCTCATCTTGGGTGATTTTCCAAAGGAAGAATAGGCAATATGGTGGCTTAGGTACCCCTGTAAATGTGTAACAGTCAGTTGGAAGCAACTTAAGACACATTTCAAGTGACCATTAAACTGTGTCTTTAAAAAATACCCATACAAACACACACGCGTGCGTGTGCACACACACACATGTGTGTGTGAAGTGTCCCCGATGCTGCAATAGGCAGAGTCCTTCTAACTCTTAGTGTTTTCATTGCCTTTGGTCTAGGGAGAAGGTCTGAGCTAATTTTACTTGTATAATAAGAGAAACCTTAAAACCAGATCATAGTAATAATATCCCTTTTACTGGAATAATTTCAAATCTCTGTGGGAAAAGAAACAATCCTATCCGAGAACTTTCACTATAGAAACTTTGAATCCTATTGTCAGTCTTGATATTTAAATGGTGATGAAAATGAATTAAAACAAGTGACTGTTTTACTATAGGAAACAGTCTGGTAACACTGCTGTGCCACCTCTTCAACACACATGGACTCATTCACCATTTCAAGTTAGACATGGTGACCTTACACAGGTTTTTAGGTAAGTCTTTTTTTCGTATTTCTACCCTCTTCCCCATGGCAGTCTATGATATTCTTTCATGTAAAGTGGCAAGAACTATAGCAAGGTGAGGAAGACCTCAAATTCTTAAATTATCTCATTTTAATTTTAAAATAAAGTTTACTTACTTAAATCACTGAAAAGAATTGTTTAGTTGATTAGTTATGTTTAAAATAGATAAAGGCTATGTAAAGACAACCATTAAGAGCAGATAACTGTCTAAGAAGTTACTGATCTGCTCACATATTAACAAAACCCCAGCAAAGTACTCCTCAAATAATGCCACTCTGGGTATGAATTGCTGAAATAGTCAATAGGGTTTTTTTTTAATAATAAGAACTACCATGTATGTAGTACCCGCTGTAGGCAGAGTGCTTTGGGTATGTTATTTCTAACAGTTTCAACAACCCTGAAAGTTGAGCATTATTATTACCATTTGGACCACAATTAAGGAGATGTACAAAGAGGTTTTATAACTTGCTCAAGGTCAACAACTGGTAATTGGCAGAGCCTCAGTCTAAGCCCAGATCTGTCTGATTTGAAAGCCCACCATGTTTCCACTCAGTGCCACCATCAGTCTTCATCAAAAACCAGCCCCAGTTCTCATTTGACTTAATGCATATTCTCATTTATCTTCCAGTAAATTATCTAGGGCACATTTTTAATCACCAAATAACTTTCCTCTGCCTCTTAGCATGTTTCTGGCTTCTTTGACTTGCCACATGGCAGTGCTTTGAATCTGGAAGCTGACTGGATACATCAAGAGTAAAATAACAGTGACAGTGTAACAGCAGTAGCAGCAGCAACCAGGCTTACATGGTGTTTACATAGAACTCTTCTAAGGACTTGCACGTATTAACACATTTAACCCTTACAGCATCCCTTTGAGACCACAGCTATTGTTATCTTCATTTTTTTATTAAAGTATAGTCAGTTACAATGTGTCAATTTCTGGTGTACAGCACAATGTTCCTGTCATGCATATACATACATATATTCATTTTATTTTTATTTATAGTGGCTAGCATCTGCAAATCTCAAACTCCCAAATTTATCCCTTCCCACCCCATTTCCCCCGCTAACCACAAGATTGTTTACTATGTCTGCAAGTCTGTTTTGTAGATGAATTCATTGGTGTCCTCTTTTTCTTTTTTTAGATTCCACATATGTGTGATATCATATGGTATTTTTCTTTCTCTTTCTGGCTTACTTCACTTAGAATGACGATCCCTAGGTCCATCCATGTTGCTGCAAATGGCAGCAACATTTTATTCTTTTCTATTCTTTTTCATGGCTGGGTAGTATTCCATTGTATAAATATACCACAACTTTATCCATTTATCTGTCAATGGACACTTAGGTTGCTTCCATGTCTTGGCTATTGTATATAGTGCTGCTATGAACACTGGGGTGCATGTATCTTTTTGAATCCCATTTTATAGAGAAGGAAGCTTTTGGTGAAGTAATTTGCCCAATACAGATACAAAACAGAGCCAGGATTTACATGTAATTGTCAAATTAATCTGCTGGATAATAGGTACACACGGCACAACAGAAATATTTGAAACCAATCAGAGCATGGCTCGTTTCAGAAACACAAATAACCTTCACCTAATTGTGTTTGGATTAATTGAGCAAAAAAATGGCTATGAATAGAACCAAATAGTTTTGATTTGTCTAAAGAGGGAGAATGCAGATACTTTGGATGTGTGTACTTGTGGAAAAGGGGAAAGATCTGATGACAGAAATAACACTGGAATCCAGAGCCAAATTCATAGCATGGGCTGAGTGACTATGGCCACACTTGAAAATCAGGACATTTTATACACACTGAGTATACTGCATCCTGGGCATTGTCTTGGTTATTAGCTGCAGCTGGCTAGTGGCCTCTAGCAAACCCAGATTGCCTTACTTATTGTCTCTGGTTCCAAGGGCACTCTGGTCCTTAGATTGGAAGGGCATGAAAAATGATCATTTAACCTGAATAAGGTTGAAATAATTCAAGGATCCTTCAGTTGGCTCAATGAATTTCTGCCTGAAGAATCCCCAGATTTTCTTTAGTTAGTGTTTGTTATTTAAATGATAAAACATCTTTGGATGAGAGTAGTCTGCTGCCCCTAGGGCTCTTTAAAAGAAAACCTCTTTTGGAGGTTTCCAAATGAACTTTGGAGGTTCCAAATGAACTTGGTTACAAAACAGAGACAGACTCACAGTAGAAAACAAACTTATGGTTACCAGAGGTGAAAGGGAGTGGGGAGGGATAAATTGGGAGCTCGAGATTTGCAGATCCTAACTACTGTATATAAAATAGATTAACAACAAGGTCCTACTGTATAGCATAGAGAACTATATTCAATGTTTTGTAATAGCCTATAATGGCAAAGAATATAAAAAGAAATATGTATAATCTGTATAATTGAATCACTATGCCGTATACCAGAAATTAACACATCATAAATTGACTATACTTCAATTGAAAAAAAGGAAACCTCTTTTATGTCACATCATTCATAAATGGCAGCAAATAATTAAACTACAGTGGGAAATAAAGTTGTCCTTTTCCTACATATTTATTTTTCCACTGAATGAGAGCCTTCATGAATGCCAGAAAGGAGTGATTTAAGAAAGTGGTGAGAATCCCAAGGGCCTCACAAATCCTTTTAGCCTTTCTTCCCTCTGCCCTCCCCCCTCCTCTCCGCTAAAATCAACCCACTAGCACTGCCAAGCTGGCAAACCATCTTCATTTTTAAAGCATCCCCAAGCTGCACATTTTGGAGACACTGCTATTTTTAAGCAAAAGGGAGCCCTCAATAAGTCTGAGCTAGTATGTCCTTCCTGTTTTGTTTTTAGCTGACTGAACTGTCTGTTTACCTTCCAGTCATGGTTCAAGAAGATTACCACAGCCAAAACCCGTATCACAATGCGGTTCACGCGGCCGACGTCACCCAGGCCATGCACTGCTACCTAAAGGAGCCAAAGGTAAAGCAAGACCCGCTGCCTACGCAGCCATCTGGAAATGCCACATGAGCTACCTGCCAGGTCCCAAATCAGCCAGCATATCAGAGTAGCTAGGTTATGAGTCATTTACAACATGAATACAAATTGTCTCTATTAAGGCTTCAGCATCAGCTCTGAAAACTGTGTAATAGTCATGAAAGAGGATCTGAGTTTTCAAAGGGTCTCTCTCACAACCGATATATTTTCAGAGCTGCATTAGGACAAAAACAACCCTCTCTGTTTATGACAATCTACAACACAGATGTTTTCAACAGTCCCAGAAATCCAGCTGTCATTGCCTTGGACCTTTGACACTTTTCTGGGAGAAGTCTCCCACCTTATGATTTTTGATCAACAAATAGAATTAAAACTCCTCAAGACTCAAGCTCCATTTCCTACTGACGCAACTGGGCATCCTGATTCAGACACAAGAAATCTTGTGAACATCAAAAAGACCTCTTAGAAAATATACCCACATGCAATAAATTATTCCAAAATTTAAAACATGATAATAAGGCTCATTACTCGAAATCTAGGCCTCCCTTAGCTATATGAAACCTAGCTAGTGTAACATACAAGATGAGTTTTCTTCTGGTATTTGGAAAATGATATGTCAGTCCAAGACTCTGTTGAGTTCAATCAGTTTTAACATCAACCACTAAATATACAGATGCCAGGCAAGCGTTCCCAAGACAAAACTGGGTATGCCTCATCCTTATAAAATATCCCAAAGACATTAAAGGTTTTGTTATTTAATCACTAAGTAATCTGAAAATTGTAATATATTACACAGTTGTATATTTGAAGTTAGGTCTAGATTCCCATTTTCCTGCGTGTTTTCCTAGCTAACCAAAAAAATAACAGACTCACACATTCCCCCACTATTTATTACACATTGAAGAAATATGCAAATTTTGCAATTCAGCCCACTTTTGATTTCACATTCAGAGAAGTGGCAATGATATGTTGGATGGTTGAAATACACAGTGGGTTTTTTTTTAATGTGTCCATCACTTTGGCTTCAACTTTTCCCTTCACTTACAGCTTTCTGTAGGAGCAAGACTGGTTTTAGGTCCTACCTTCTCCCCGCCCACCAAAAAGCAGTGTTGCCAACAGGTAATGCTACTACAACCACAGAACAGAACAGAGGAGCCTCAGGAAGAGGAGGCCACCTGAACGAGCCACACAATTTGAGTTGCTTAATTACTTTCCTCGCAGTCCTTTCTTTCTTCCTGCAATTCCATCAGACTGTTACCTCACTGACAGCCTCAGAGGGTTAAGGCCTCTGGATAACAGGCCTCAACACTACTGCGATGTTTCATTCTGTATGATTTAGCCAAAACAAATACTAAGCTATTTGAGGAAACACACCAATCAGTCTCCTTATTTGATTTTTTTAACAGCTCGCAAGCTTCCTCACGCCTCTGGACATCATGCTTGGACTGCTGGCAGCAGCGGCCCACGATGTCGACCACCCAGGGGTGAACCAGCCATTTCTGATCAAAACTAACCACCACCTCGCTAACCTGTATCAGGTAAGGGAGCCACCATGGTACAGTATGCTTTACTGCTTTAGGCCCAGCTGGAGCCTGAACCTCACCCTTGGAGATAGCCTTCATCCCCAGGGTCAGCCTCAGTGGTGACCACAGCCAAAGAGCAAAGGTTTGAAATAAGTGCAGAATATCCCCCAAGGGAGATGAATTTGGTTTACAAGGATATCCAAGGACTTCAGTTTGCTCCAAAGAAGGTTTGAAATTGTCCTAAGTCAAACAGGTTCCCTGAGCCTACCTCTCATGAGACCATCTGTCTCCATGGGAACCATCTAGTATATAATGGCCAGTGAAAGCTAGTTCTTGTAGAACGTCTATAAATGGTACTTCCCAGGTGCAGTCCTAATTCAGATGTACGTCTCTAGGGCCATTTCTTTTTTTTTAATCATATTTTTATTTTTTATTGAAGAATAGTTGATTTATAATATTGTATTGGTTTGAAGTGTACATTACAGTGATTCACAATTTTTATAGATTATACTCCATTTATGGTTATCATAAAATATTGGCGATATTCTCTAGGGCCATTTCTGAACTTTATTGGCCTCTGAGTCAGAAGATGTTACCAAACATAATAGGCATACTTTGTTGTTATAAAGTAGTTCAGCAGCATGAGTAGGCTGACCTAGAGAACTCTCACCCAGGATGTTGCTTCAGTTATTATAACCCTATATCACAAATGAATTATTCCCAGAATTTTCAACCTGGTTTTTTGGAGACCTTTGGTTGTCATTAACAAAATCATTGCACACAAGGGAGTCATTAATCTCAATTTTAGTAGATCTTTTGAAAAAATTCAGTGCTGGAAGAATTTCTGAAGGATTCCCATAAAATAGTTGCATTATACAAGATTCTGCAGCTTGAGGATGCATTTGTTTCCAATAAAGCATAATTGGAACATGAAAAAAAGCCCTTTTCCACCCAACTGATTAGCTTTTGGTCTGGGTTGGAAGTGGCATTCCAAGGTTTATGGATCCACCTGGTACATACTTCAGCCCTGGGCTCTCTTGGGCTGTCAGCCAGCACCTGGAGCTGGGGTAGAAATAACTACACAGAGGGGACAGGATGACAGAATTTAGAAAACCTTTTGATGATGAGCTAAAACCTAAACAAAGAAAATAAAAACTAAAACTAAACTTTCTAAAGCATCTCAGAAGCTAAATGTATTGCTTGGGAAAAACATAAACATTTGACCAGGGGAAAAAAAATGAATGAACTGAGAGCTCTCAAGTAGATTTTCTATTCCTGTCATCATTTTAATTCTGACTTATTCAAATGTCTTTAATTAGACAAAGGAAACAAGCAACAAGACTTGCTGCTTGATCTGCTCTCATATAATGTAAATGCTTACCCAATTCTAGTTTCTCATCATCACATAAATCACATCAGTGGAGTTCAAGAGAGTATCTGCTGTTACTGGTTTGTACATAAAAATGAGGGTCATAAAACTGTGCTTTGACATGTAGTGTATATAAAACACTCACTGAGTGCACATTTAGACAAGAAGTCAAAAAGAAATATGACAGATGGTAAAGATGGTAAAAGAAAGTAAATGTAGAATTTCACCAATAATGAAGAATTAACTACCCACTGCTAGTCAACAAAAACTGATTATCAAAAGAAAGCTACTCTAGTCGATCTTGTTCGGATACTAAAAATATTCTCCGAAAAAATGGATTCCTTACTCAAACTTCTGAAGTGCAGATATTTTTAATAATATTTAGTTTAACCTCTTTGTTAAAAAATAAACATTCCAATACAACCAAATTCTGTAGCCTTTTCAACACAACATACAGTCTTGTATATCTTGAACTAACAACTATTTATTGCATGTATCAATGATATACTAGGATCTTGGAATACAAAAATAAATAAAATATAATCTGCCCTCAGACATTCATTCAAACTCAGATGCTCAAGATGTGCAAAATCCAAAAAACTTAATCCCAGTTTGAAAAAGGTTTCAGGCGTTAGCCAAAGATATACATATATACATATGTACATACACAGAAGCCGCTTTATATTTAAGCCTCTGAAGAGTAAATACCCTTGCTGTTCTTTGTATCCAAAGATGTTACAGCAACAAAATGAGCTATTATTTTTTTTCTAGCAGTAAATTTATCCTTCTGAACCATCTGGCCTGATCCTTGATAAGGAAGAGAAGGATCCTTTTGGTAATGACTAAAGAGAAGTTGGGACGTAGGACTCAGAAACCACATTCAAGATACTGTCTCCATCAGTCCCCTGCTCAAATGGCCTTAGGGTCTCTTGGAAGCTCGCAATCCATGTCTTTATGTTTTAGGGACAGTGTTGACAGCAAACCAGTGTCACTTAGTATCATAAAGATACTTCCAATATCCTAGACCTGGCTAGGATAAGATGAAACTTTTATCAGCCAAATTGGGACCTTACATATTAAAAGTGAAAAGTGTTAAGAGGACCTGAAAATTGTATGAGATTTTAATTCTGTCCAAAAAAATAGATGATGGCTTTTACATTTGTCGATCTACGATCGTTTATTAACTATATGAAGGAACTCCTAAAAGATAAAGAGAATTCCCTTTAAAATTCAGTTCCACAAATTCTGTAACTAACCTTCATTCCATACTGACTGTGATTCAAACACCGAGCTAAGTGCTTCTATGTGCTACGTTATTTACTCTCCACAATAGCCCAGTGAGGTGGATACTATCTTCATACCTGTGTTCCATAAAGTGGAAAATTGTTACTAGGAAATTCAAGTGTTTTTCCCGAAAATAAACAGCTAATTAATGGCAGAGCTGGAATTAACACAAGTCTTTTGTCTCCAGAGCCAAAGTGCCTGAGCATTGTACAAACTGCCTCTAAAATTCATATTGATCACCTGTGATGTGCAGGAAACTGAGGGCTCTCCTCCAGGTCCTCCTGTTGCAGCGAGGGAGATGGGATGGTTATAGGCAAGTAGTTTAAAGTGAGAGAGCCTTGCCAAGTACTCTACGGTAGATAGCTACTAACAAAACGTGATAGGAAGACAGAGGTGAAAGAGAAATAGATTCTGCAGATGGTTTCTTGGGAAAAAAAAAAAAGGCAAAACAACAAAAAAACCTCCTGGAGGAAAGTGATGTAAACTGGGCCTCGCCGTGTGAGTAACATTCCGAGTAGCAGGGCAGAGGGAGGGGCGCCAGAGGCAGCACGAGCTGGTGTCCTTAGGGGATTAAAACCCACAACTCCAGACTAACTGAAAATGGACTGCCGCTATGGCCTTGAGCTGAGCTTAGTCCTGCCACGAGTGCCCCCTGCTCTCAGCTCCGTGACCTGGGCTTGTTATGATGAAGTGTAGTCTCTCCTTTGCAGAAACGGTAGATTGGCTGGGCAGAATGTGATCTGGGTCAGAAAAGCTTCACTCTGGATTAAGCTGTCAATGAGGAACTGGCAGAACTCTTTAGCTTTTCAATCTGAAAGGGAACAAAAATTTGTTACATAATATATCAACTCAGCAATACCATTAACAACACATGATATTTAAAAATCTTTGGAAATATAGCCTTTTAGCCTACCAAGGACCTGTTCTTTGAAACATAAATGAGCTTTCAGAAAACTATACACACACTATATATATAGACACAATATATTGTGACTATACACACACACACACACACACACAAATTATACACGCACCCACACACACATTTGGTCAACGAGAATACCGTCAAGAGTATGTGCCAGGAATTATGTGGCTTTGAGAACACCCTGTTCGTGACTTTGTACAATCCAGACTTACTATAAATGAGATAAAATGGAAAAGGGCTTCCTCTCCCTCCTTTTGTTAGCTCTGCTCTTTTAGTCTAATAAATAAGAAGATCATTGCATAATGACCAGCCTGTGCTTCTGCCCTGAGATAAAGACAGAGCCAGGGCAGCTGGAGTGAAGGCCGGGTCAGAGGGCTCTCTCCCATTGTCCACTGTCTGGGCCGGGCTCACTAGCTGAACTGCCAACCCAAGTTCAACATGAAGCTGATGAAGGCATTTCCACCTGGCACCTCTCTCTTCAGACTGGAAGAAGTCCAAGTGTCTCTGGTGGACCAAGAGCGTGTGAGAGATACAACTGAGAATTTATTCTCTGTCCCTCCACCCTCCAACCCCCAACACGTGGGCTCAGCAGTTTCACAAAGTAAGCATTAAATAAGATATGATATTAGTTATCACAATTGCAAAAGAAATCAATCTCAGTTCATTTTAAAATTTAATTCCTTTTGATAGAGTCCAGCTACATATTAACTAGTGACAGAGCAACCCAATGAATAAAATAATTCATAATTCATTGTCCCGTAAAACAGTATATTTATTACATTCTCTACTTGTCTTGCAGAAGTTCATAATTATTTATTTCTTAGTCATTTATCACAAGCACTTAGAAGAGGCCAGCATTTTTAACCACTTTTTATTCTTAACGACTCTGTACCATAAATACAAAGTTGACAGAGCCAGGACAAATGTTCCTTCCACATGGTCCTATGACCTCTACTCAGACAAGCAACTGCAAACATTACATGTAACCTCATAATTTCTGCAGCATGAAAGGTGTTTTTGGTAGAGTAGAGTTAACGTTGTAAAAAGGAGGTTCTAATTTGATTTTCTGTTTCATTAAGTTCCTGCTGTTCACAGTGAGGTAGCTGGCACGCAGCATGTCCATGGCCCCGATCTAAACACAGGCCTGCCCCACGGACAGCAAGTGATGTCCAGGCTCCTTGCTCTCAGCAGTGTCTTAGGCAGATGCAGAGTGAACAAGAGAAAGACATCTTCCAACAGGCAGGAGACATGGGGCTAAGGTCTTGTTTAGGAGCATCTGTTCCTCTGAGACCTCCTGGGCTGGGGCTCTTGCAGCGTTACCAAGGAGACCACAGGGCTTGTTAGGGAAGAACTCAGTGACTTCATTATCTCCTGGAGTCTTGCTTCCCAGTTTCGTGGGCAATTAAAAATGAAAACACAGACTATGTTCCTGTTGTT